AAGGAAATGCAAGAAAGCAAAGTGGCTGTCCAACGAGGCCTTACAAATAGCAGAGAAGAGAAGGGAAATAAAATGCAAGGGAGATAGGGAAAGTTACAGAAAATTGAATGTGGACTTCCAAAGTATAACAAGGAGACAAGAGGGCTGTCTTAAATGAACAATGCAAAGATATAGAGGAAAACAATAGAAAGGGAAAAACCAGAGATCTGTTCAAGAAAATTGGAGCTATTAAATGAACATTTTGTGCAAAGATGGACATGATAAAGGATAAAAATGTTAGGGACCTAACAGAAGCAGAAGACATAAAGAAGAGGTGGCAAGAATAGACAGAGGAAACATAAAACTCAGCAGTGGCCAGTGGATTGGAAAAGATCAGTCTGCAGTATTATTATTTATTTAATTTATTATTATTTATTTAATTTATATGTCGCCCACACTACCCAAAGGTCTCTGGGCAGCTTACATCCCAATCCCAAAGAAGGGCAGTGCCAAAAATGCTCCAACTACCACACAATTGCACTCATTTCACACGCTAGCAAGGTTATGCTCAAAATCCTACAAGCAATGACAAATAACATCTTAGAAAGCAGAGTCATCATCTTGCCAACAAAGGTCCACATAGTTATAGCTATGGTTTCTCCAGTAGCAATGTATGGAAGTGAGAGCTGGACCATAAAGAAGGTTGACTGCTGAAGAATTGATGCTTTTGAATTGTGCTGCTGGAGGAGACTCTTGAGAGTCCCCTGGACTGCAAAGAGAACAAACCTATCCGTTCTGAAGGAATTCAACCCTGAGTGCTCACTGGAAGGACAGATCCTGAATTTGAGGCTCCAATACTTTGGCCATCTCATGAGAATAGAAGACTCCCTGGGAAAGAACCTGGTGTTGGGAAAGTGTGAAGGCAAGAGGAGAAGGGGACAACAGAGGACGAGATGGTTGGACAGTGTCATCGAAGTTACCATCATGAATTTGACTAAACTCCGAGAGGCAGTGGAAGATAGGAGGGCCTGGGGTGCTCTGGTCCATGGGGTCACAAAGAGTCAGACACGACTTAACGTCTAAACAACAAAAAACCTGTCTTTACCTCCTCTTATGTCTTCTTCATCCGCTTTTTAATTTTTTTGCCAGCACAAGTGAAGCAGCAAAGCACTTCTAACAGCAAACTGCCCTATCAGCAGATCTTTGAGATCTGCTGGCAGAAGGGCATTTCTGTGAACAGAAAGGTCTTGTGCCCAATCTTACCCCTAACCATTATAGCCTAGTTCCTTTCAGTTAGCATGGCAATGTTCTTCAAACACATGGATCAGAAGCAAACTTTCTGCTTATGTTGAAAAGAAAGAAAAAAAAACAGCCATTTTCAGCAACAAATAAAACACTCACCTTCAGAACAAAGGCTTGCTGATACTGCAGTATTATAACTACCAAACTCAAAAGAAAAATGAAAAGAAAGAAACTAGAAGTTAAGTCACGGTAATAAATCTCATATTGATCTCCCTCATAATGAACTATCGGTTCCAGTTCCTTGTGATGCTGCTGATTTCAGCATGACATAAAATAAAATGCAGTGTCTTTTTTTTTCTTCATTAGATCATGACACATATCTAAAGCTAGTTCTACTACTTCTAGCATTAGCAGTGCCTCTGATGAAGCTGTTACTATTGTCATTCTGGCCCTGAATTTCTCCCAGTCAATTTCAGGGCAACTGCTAATAAATCATTTCCCAAAAAATATTACAGGCAGGCAGAAACTTTAATCTATGCTAATTAGTAATGAAGCAGCCATCTAAAGCCATTAACTACTCGTGCCCTCACAAAACACATACATATAAATAAAATGTATCCAAACAGTGAGACTCTGCATCTTCCCGGATACCATACAAGGAAAAATCTACATATCCATTAAAACAAGAAAGCAAAGAAAGATCAAACAAGAAAGCAACGGCCATATGTGGAACTCTGCATTCTACATCTTGGAACCTTCCTTTTCATGCAACTTTCCATCCTCAGCCATATGTCAAGACAGACTATGTCTTTGAGTAAAAACTAACACATTTGGCTCATTTTTAGAAAAGGTATTTCCTCAAGCAGATGTCTCTTTTGCATAGCATATGATTTTGTGCACTGACACATCTTACTGTTAACATTCTTTGTTTTGCAATTATCCACTGGAAAATATACATGGGCTGAATTTTCTATTCTGAGTGCTGAGGCACCTATCTGACACAATGGCATGTTATAGGTGGGAAAACAGGTCAGATGTATGGAATAGGCATCCCCCTCAACATATAGTCTGATTCTATGATGAGGAACTTTAAGCCTCTTTCCCACAATCTCTGCCACACATTCTTCCCTCCTACCAATCACTAAATTATCATCATGTGGGTCACTATCCATGACATTCAGACAGGCATTACATACCCTTCTAGCCACACCACCTTCCAAATTCCTCCTGGCTCATACAACATCTTAATAACTAACTCAGGAGCTCATAAACCAAAGACTACCTCTTAATTTTAGAATTACCCTCCTGGCTCATACAACATCTTAATAACTCAGGAGCTCATAAACAAAAGACTACCTCTTAATTTTAGAATAAGATTACATTGGAACCAACCACAAGTTACTAAAACTATGACCTGCGTACTGTTTTAAGTAAAGAACCTATGTCTGTCCCAGTATCCTTTAGCATTAACTAAAACTACCCATAAGAAACTGAAAAATTCTGTTTCTTACATGGACAGCTCATTGCTATATCTGAACAATTTAATGCTGCACCTCTTTACAATGCCTCAGTATGCAATTCAGCAGACAAGGTGGCAGGGGCAAAGCCATGTGAGTTTCGCCAGTTGTAAAACTAACTAATTTAAATATTATCCCATGAATCATTCCGCACACTTCTTTATCCTATACCCATTTGCTCAAAAGGAGGCCCCAGCCCAACAGCTTTTCAGACTACAAAGCACAATTCCCACTCCGTGTAATATCTTGGCAGGCTTTAAACACATTGACCACAAACTGATAAGAGTGCAAGACACATGCAGACAACAGGCAGAACTCCATTTGTTTGGTTCGGTCTCCCCCAGTTTTGCAAGACAACCATGGGAATGTAGCATAATGTTTATAACTCATTAATTCATGCACACATGGACTCACATATTCTTTTCAAACTATAAAATACAGTTCTTCACTATGAAAATAAACTTCATTATTGGTGCCTGTTTCGGTTATTTGGCATCAATTATGAACATACTGTCTCTTCCTTTTTAGTGAAAAAGTACTTTGTGCAGCACTGATAATTCATTGCATAGGTTCAGTGATAATCACCTTTTGAGGTGAGAAAATTCTTTGTCTGAACTTTTCCACTGTTTCTGGACCTGCAGCTGCCCATACAGTGGCAAACACCTCTGCTTTATCAGGATCCATGCCGGAATTCTCCAACTGCTGCTTCAGAATAGTTGGTTTTAAATTGTGATATACAGCCTATAAGAAGAGAAACACATAATGAGCACACTTCCTTAAACTAACTCTGCATTTAAACAAGCATACAACCAAGAAATGCTGCATGAAGCTGTTAAACTAACTCTGCATTTAAACAAGCATATGAACAAGAAATGCTGCATGAAGCTGAAGTAATTATATTTCCAGCACATACACAAAGTGGTAGGCACAGCATTTACAAATTGTAATAAAAGCACTCACTCACATGAAAAAAACTAAAGGTTTGCAGCATCAAAATATTGTGGCGAGAGTACAATAACCCTGCAGAGGGGGACCTCTCTTGACATTATTCAGGATCCGTGAAATGGATAATAATGAACTGCTCACTAGTGGCACTACAATCTGATTGTTGTCAAGCAAGGAGAGACCATAGTCCCAGGATGTAAAATGGGTATCATTATTTAAAGACGTCAGCCCAATGCGTGTCAGCTAATGTATATTTAGCCTTCTTCAGGGGCTGTAATATGTAAAATAACACAAAAAAGCATCTATGTGAGTTTCCTATTTGTATGGGACAACATTTGACATTCTACAAAATTAGAACATTTTGTGCAAGCATTAATACAATAATAGGTATTTAGAGTAATTTACAGGAGGAATAAAGTCATGTAGTAAGTAAGCATAAGATGTGAAGGTACATACCACTGATATTGCACTGATATTGAATCTGTCTCTGAGGTTTTTTTAGGGACAGTTTCCCACTCCTTTTTGGATAAATGGAGCCCTGGCGGCAGAACAGTACTACAATCTGATTACCGGGAATGCTTTTTGGGGACAGGAAAGATGCAACCCTTCAAGTGACTTAACACTTGAGTAGGCATGTTTAGAATTCAGGGTTGGTATCCTGCTTTGGAATTTCAGCATGCATAACCAGTATTACGCAAGTGATTGCCCTATGAGGTGAGATGTCCATTGTACAACTTGTTGTATAATCAGTCCTGCAGAGACTTTGTCCAACAGAGTAACATTTGTACTATTTCTGCAGCATTTGTTTTGCATACAGAGATCCCAGCCAGGATACTGGCCAAGTATTAACATTAATTGTAACATAATTTACTTGGCTAAGAGAAACAGAGCTGCCTTGGTAGCTCAGTGGTTTAGATATCTGGTTGCAGAGCCAGAGGTTGGGAGTTTGATTCTCCACTCTGCCTCCTGAAAGCAGAGCCAGCCTGTGTGACCTTGGGCAAGCTGCACAGTCCTGGGATACCCCCCCCCCCCCCGAAGAAGGGAATGATAAACCATTTCTGAGTATTCTCTATCTGGAAAACCCTGAAAGCACAATTGACTTGAAAGCATATGGTTATTATGAAAAGAAACAGAATCCAGCTCTCTTTGATGTTAAAATACAAGGATCTGTGATTCAACCCCATGGATGTGATGATCGACTGTGGCACATCAATCAAACTGCACACATAACTGCATTGACTCTTGCCAGAAGCAGGATGTGTATAGGTAGACATACAGAGAGTGCCCTAGATCATCCTGATATACAGCATACTGTAGTATTATTTACTCATCTGATTTATATCCCATGGTTGCTCCAGAACATGGATTTACTTGGAAGTAATTTCCACTGTGATAAATGGAGCTTGGCCTTTAATCACTGTGTTCAGGGTTTCAACCACAGTCTCTTTAAATATTACAACATCTACATTACAACAATGGAGCTTGGCCTTTAATCACTGTGTTCAGGGTTTCAGCCACATTACAACATCTACATTACAGCAATTCTCCTAGACCATAAGGGCTCTCAACAGATCTTTAATGTACAACTGGAATCCTTGTAGTTGTTAACTACAAACATACTGCTAATTTTCCTTAGGCAGAAAAAAAGAACCACCAAGCTCCTCAAACACATCAGATTTCCCCTGATCTTAAGGTACAAAGGTGTACTGATTTCTTGAAATTATGACACTATACAAGAAGATACCTGTTCTAGAATGAATGTTATGGTTTCAAGGATAAGATGCAGATCTTGCTTTTCCACTGAGAATGCAGTTTTAAGCTTTTCTTCTTCCTCTTCTGTGAAAGTACTCTCAGTCTGAAGAAAAAAACACTCAAATTGACTGAAAAAAATCTGACATTATTATATTGCTTGCTCTTTCTTGTTCCCAATACATGGTGCCCAAGGCAGCTAAGAACAATAAAAAACAAACATACAATGAACAATTAACATATGTCAAACTGCTTCAAATAAAAAATATTAAACAGGAAACTGCCACAGTAAAAAGTTATAACTGTATACAAACATAATTACAAAATGATCTTATCTTCAATTTATTTATAGTTATCTAGTTTCTTTGTTTTGTTTCAATGGACCAACCACATCATATGTGAATCAGCTTCTTAACTGGGAACTGTTACCTGCAAGAGTTTGACAAAAACTCTCATATCAACCCTCTTATCAAATTCTGATGAATAAACAGAACTAAGAAGAAAGTTAAGAGAAGAAAATGCGATATTAAGAGATGGAGAAAAAGATGTGATTCGTGCTAGATATACTCTTCCAAAATGAGGACAGCCTAAAGTTTCACCTATTCATTTTACATAGCATACTTCTACACTGCCTTTTTGAAAGAGCATGTAGGAAGTAGGAAACAATTAAAACAAATCAAAGTCAGAAATAAAAAATAAAACAGAAAAGCTAAAACAGCAATTTTTTTAAAAAGGAAAAATATCTAGATAACCAGCAAAGCCCAAATAGGAAAATATATGCACTATAAACACTCCAAAACCAAGCAAGGAGGGAAACTATGCACTTCCAAATCTGGAGACAAGATTACTTTAAGCCTCAAAACAAGCAACTTACAAGCAACACTTCTAGTCAACAGTTTTCACTTTCTGAAACAGGTAAACAAAAAAAAAGCCTAGTTAGATAACTACCTATAAACTGACATGGGGCTAAAACAGTCAGTCTCTTCTACCTATTACTCAGTAAGCATTCCATCAGGCTATGCTGGGGGTGGGGGGAGAGAGAACAAAATATGGGAGTCACAAAAAGCTCACTCCACAAAGATCTCCCCCAATTCTCAATTCACAGACATTCCATCAGGATACAGCAGACTGACAACAGGGAAGATGATCATCTCAACTGAAAGATAAGCTGCTTTTGATCTCTCCTCTCTTGAGCTGTTCACCTTCTAGCTGATTACAGTAAGAAAACTGGTAATTTTGGCTGCACAGCATGCAAGTGTTATACTCTCTGTGTTAAGAGACTTGTGACTCCTTAAAGACTTCTACATACTGAAAGATAAGCTGCTTTTGATCTCTCCTCTCTTGAGCTGTTCACCTTCTAGCTGATTACAGTAAGAAAACTGGTAATTTTGGCTGCACAACATGCAAGTGTTATACTCTCTCTGTTAAGAGACTTGTGGCTCCTTAAAGACTTCTGCATGTATTAACTCTTCTGGCCTATAGGAGTCTTCATTGAAAGAAGGTGCGTCTTCTGGTGCGAAAAATACGGTAACTCTTCTGGCCTATAGGTGTCTTCATTGAAAGAAGGGGGCAGAATGCTGTCCACCTTTTGTTTAGAGAGATGTGTCATAAATTCCAAAACACTAGCTGAAGACAGGACTGAAACCATACCTTTCCTCCATGAGGGTCTTGAAGACTACAGCTGTCTCCATCTAAGAAGCTACACCTGGGCCCCAACAGCAACAAGAACACTTCTGGGACTTTAATATAAACATGTAATTTTGGAGTGACCCACGAGAACTTGGTGCACAGCCTGAGGAAGATGAATTTCACTGAAAGCTCACTTTATTTTTTGTTTTATTTTCTTAATGGTCCAATAAAAGTATCCCCTGTTCCTGCATTTGTATTATTTTGAGGATCATACGGCCTTGTCCTGATTTTTTCTGAGTTATCTGAAGTTACAGATATATAAGCAATACATATGATTGAAGGTGGAATTGTAGAAAATATGGTAAAAGGGAAGGTAAATGCAGAAAATACTGACAATAATTACATTATTAACACAGTGCATTCACAGAACTGTTGCATGTAACAAATATCCTAGTGCAGGTGTGTAGTTGTCAATATACTTTCTAAATCTAAGTTCACTGACCTCAGGATTTGTAATCCCAAGCCATCCACCTATATTCCATATTTACTAATTCAGGGTAGTACTTCATGTCTTTGATGAAGAGTTATAGACCGTGAAAGTTCATGTTGTAGTAAATGTGCAAATCTTCAAGGCACCACAGGGTTTCTTGTTTTTGTAATAATAGACTAACATGGTTACCTCTTTAAAATCTGTACAATACTAACAGCCAGTGTTTTCAGTTTGCGAAATGGATCCGTTCTACACGACATAACGTAGTACGGAAATTCCACAAACTGAAACACCAATTGTGCTATGAAAAGGGTGGTGCTATAGGCACAATGGGCCCTGGAAAAACCCTTTCGTAGTGCAAAAAAGGAAAAGAAAAACATAAACCGGGGCTTTATTTCTTAAGGATTTCGGTTTGTAAACTGAAAATTACATAAACGGAAGCGTTCGCAAACCGAGGTGCTACTGCATTCCCATTTTCTTCTTCTCTTCCATGTCACATATTTTTAGACTGCAAGCCTGAGGAAAAGGACTGTTTATTTTGTTGCGCTGTAAACCATTTATTTTCTTATATCTTTAAAACAGATAGATTCAGAAAGTGAATGGCTACAAAGACTACCAGTACCACTTTGAGTTGGAACCGGAAAAAAGCTAACTGATGGAGGTCAGCAACTTCAAAGGGACCAGAGGGTTTTTTCCACCACCGCTGGGCACACTGGAGGCTGCAACAACTTCTTTCAGTGATGCAATTCCTTAAGAAGTCTGATTGTTTTTTCCACCACCGCTGGGCACACTGGAAGCTGCAACAACTTCTTTCGGTGATGCAATTCCTTAAGAAATCTGATTTATGGCAGCGATCCCCAACATTTTTGGGGCATGGACCGGCTGGGGGGAGCAAGCTCCATGTGCAGGGAGGGTGGGGGCACCCCCATGCTCACGGTGGGTGTGTCGCGCGCATGCGGCAAGCGTAACACACCCTCCATGCTTGCATAACACGACTGCCACGAGCATGTGACACAACCACCAGGAGCGCAACATGCCTCCACACAAGCGTGACATGCCCACTGTGGGTGCAACACACACACACACACACACAGATGTGACATGCCCCCTCACAGGCACAACACGGCCCCCATGTGAGCGTGCGGGGGTGGAGCAGAGATCTGTATCCGCAGCCCAATTATGGCAAGCCCACAGACTAGCACCGGGCTGCGGACCAGGGGTGGATGACCCAATTTAAGGGCTACTTTGTTTTAGAGAACAAACATGCTGCATGGAAGCTCCCAGAGATACAATTCTGTTTTCTGCGGCACCTCAGTTAACAGAAGCTTCCTTCATCCCCAACCAAAGGTCATCACTCTAGATATTTCAAATCAAAAATCTGCATGGCCAGAGTTTTCTCAACTGTGTTGCATATGTACAATATGCAAAATTGGAAGGTCTAATCTTATCTTAAATTTTATGGAAGACTTGCCTGTATTATGAGTCTCACATCATAACTCACCTAGAAGCACCATTTAGATAGTCTAGACAATGTAAACAGTGTCACTACCACACAAATAGAGTAGAAATAAACAAATGGCCACAAAAATGAATGGCAGGACAAAAGGTGGATGCCATAACTGAAATAACGGAAGCCTACTTCTCACAGATATTCTGTTGTGAAATGGAAGATAGTTTTTAAAACACTGACTTCTTCATAACATATTTACCACATTTTTCATAGAAGTGAGAACTTCAGTCACACTTCCAAGAAAATGTACTTAAACTTTTCTGCTTTTTTCCCCTTGAATTGGACAGAAAACCAAGACAAGCATGCCAAGTTTATACTCAATCACACAGCAAGATGCTAATCACCAGCTTTTCAAAATTTGTACTCAAAGACTGAGTTCCAGTTTCTCAATACAAACCTTGAGATGAAGCTTCTGAAGGATGCGGGAGAGTAGACGAGAGAACCTGCCTGTGTCTATAGTGTTGATGAGCAACACTGCCTTCCGAATACTGGCAAGGGGGAGAAGAAATGGAAATAAATAAATGCAGGGTACACCAAACAATTGTTTTGCCCTACCTCTGAACTCCAGTAATAAGTTGCAACTAAAGTTGGCCCACTGGAATTGACATACAGTACATGAGAGCTAACTGAATGCCCAGATTCAATAGGCCTACTCTAGTTGCAATTTACGACTTGATTTCAACCACTATCAAGGAAAACTGACTACTGTATATAAACTAGGGCATATAAACCACCTGCAATTAATAGGGTCGCTGCTTTGGTAAACAAAGGTTCTTCGGACTTTAACGTCAAGGCAACACATAGCAAGCTCTCTTTTCTTTACGACTGTATAGTCCACACTGAGAAAACATTCAGCTACTAAACCTTTTAACTGCAGTTTTGGGAATATTCTCTACACGTAACGAAACCCTGCGTGGGTCGACATGCGTAAAAATTCTTTTCAAATGGCCGCGTTCAATACTAACGCAGCTAAAGGAATATCAGCTGCTTCACGGGCAGCAGTTCCTCCACAAGAACGGAGAAACACCCGGAGGATCGGGGGTCCCTACCTCCCCGTATCTGGAATAACGATGGGCGCCGCCATGTTGGCAACTCTCAGCCACGGCGTCTTCCTCCTATAAGGCCAATAAGGGGGCCAAGAAAGCGAGGAGACCGAGGAGCCAATCCCAGCTCCTGTACTCTGACGGACTCCGCCTATCGCCTTCTAGTCCCGCCCCGAGGTCGTCGTTTAAACTAGCGAGGAAGCTTCAGCGAAGCCCCGAAAGGCGGCTGAGCCTGCTTTGGCCGGGAGGGGGTGAAGAGGAGCCATTAATGGGGATTGCGCCCGGGCGATTGCGGCGGGAAAGCGGCCGCTGAAGAGACGGGCGGCATGTCGCTGCGGCACAGAAGCGCTGCTGGTGACAGACAGGCGTGCTTGATCTGGATCCGTTACTGCTTAATGATCTCCTTTTATCGACGGTGTATTCCTCTCACAGACCTATGCGTATGAGAGTTGAATGCACATCTCAAAAACACGAATGGATAGTAGTATCTTTATTACATGACAAACATCTCAAAAACGGACTGACGTTCAAGAGTCTTCATCAGGTTGGACTTTGCAGAGGGATGTGGAGGAAACGAAAACTACCCCGAAATCAGTCTGGCCAAGCCAAGTTCTCATGTTCAAAGCAACTTCCAAAGTGGAGTTCGCAACCTTTTAGAAGCTCGAGGTGTGAGATTTCTTTCTGTCTTTTTTTCACTTCCATAGAGAAAAGGGCCGGCAGTCACTCAGGTGCCTCCCCAGCCGGCCCCTGCTGTCTTGTGAAGCATATCCTTTCTATTGGGCTGGTAACAAGAGGGGCCAGAAACATGGCAATCCCCACCTCGGAGAACCTGAAGATTTAGGTCACACACTAAAGAAGAAGAACACAGTCTGTGAAAGCTTTACCTAGCAGCATAGTGCTTGTAGTCCTTAATTCAGTTTATTCACTTGAGTGATGGCAGATCTCCTTGCTCTGCTTATAAACTGTGCCCTAGATCAGTGGTTCTTAACCTTTTTGAAAGAAACGCCCCCTTGAGCCATTGAGGAAGTTATCATCGCCCCCCTCCCCGCAGTGATGACATCTTTTTATTTATTTATTTATTTATTTATTTATTAATTATTTAAGACACTTAAATCCAATGACACCTGAAAACAAAATTCAAGTCCAAGAAAATGAAATGCCCCCAAAAAGTAACATTTAATGATTTAGTTGCAAGCGAATATTAAGACAGAAAAAGAAATATAAAAAAGCATAAAAACAAACCGCAATGCAGGAACTAAAAATTTCAAGACGAAAACTCTGAAACTAAATTAAGATTGGAGAAAAATATATATTCATGCACATTGTAAAAAGGTTGCAGCCATCTTCACAGGTTTGGCTTGCTCCAGTGCCCCCCTACCGCCCGCCTTCTGCTCCAGCGCCCCCCTGCCGCCCCTTTTCGTTCTACCGCCCCCCTGAAAAATGAAATCGCCCCCTGGGGGCCATTATCGCCCACGTTAAGAACCACTGCCCTAGATAGACGTGTGCTCTGCAGTGCTCAGTGGGATGAATCCAGTGGGCTTTGAAAAGTACTGTGCAGTACCTTGTTTTTTTATATTTTATGGGTCTGATAAAAGTATCACTCAACCATGTTTGTGGGTTGTGTTCAATTCTTTTTTCTTTTTCATTCCACATTTGGGACTGTGGGAGCCACAGAAGTGTAGGAGTTGCACTCCTCTTCACACTTAACTTGGGACTAAGCTCCATTGCAGTGACTTCTAAATAAGCATGCAGATGCCTGCCTAGCCTGCTTAGAAGTCCATCAGAACTCAAACGTGAGCCTGCTTTGCGATCTTAGTGGTCTTACTAAAGGTGTCATTCCACCCCCTTACTTCTGTGAGGATGTACAACCAATGAAATTGGATTAAGCAGAAACTGAACTGCATTAAGTGATTGTTAATAAACAGCACTTCTGTACCACATCAACATTACTTCTTACCTTTCTGTTCATTTGCTGTTTTCCTCAGAGGTCGACAGGTAAATCTCAACAGCCCTAGCACAACCAGATTCATGGCAACCAGATTTCAGGAGAGGCCTGCCAACAAGAGATATGCACATTTGTGTTTTTGAACCACAACTCTCAGCATTCCCCAGGCAGCAGAGCTATTATCGACATAACTATCATTGAAGTCTACACTCTTAACTGCAGCTACTGAGAGAGGAAAAATTGAAAGCTTTTATGTAAGTGTCCAAGATGTGCTACTAATCACAGGCGACTCAGATGGAAAAATAAGAAATAAAGCAGAATCAAATATCACTAGAAAATTTGGCCTAAGAATCAGAAATGAAGCTGGAGACTGACTCAAAATTTTGTGAAGCCAACAATTTTTTTATAACGAGCATGTCCTTCAGGCAACTGAACACATCATTACACATGCAGAGGTCACCAGACGGCCAATGTAGAAATCAAATAGACTATACTGTATAACTGGAAGCAAAAGATGGAGACACTGTATTCTCTCTGAAAATGACCAGGAGTAGACTCTGGTGCAAGTCATGACCTATTAATATAAAAAATATATAAAACTGAAGAGCACAAATCATCACACAAAAATATAATTTAAATAACTAAAGAAAGAAAGACCATATAAAGAATACATATATATTAGTAGTCCATGAATCAGAAGAACTGTGGATTGAAAGCCAAGATGTTATCTGGGAAGAATGAAAAAAAAATCTTGTATTTGAACTTTGATTGATGACAACAAATGTTAACATATGAGAATCACATTTTTAAAAATTTAGAAATAGAGTCAGAATTTGAAATGCCAGCTTTCCAGCAACATGCATATAGGGACAAAGAGTTATTTGCAAAGTAGAGGAAACAAAAAATAGAAACAAGATATTTTCCACTAGATCTAAGAAATCAAATCGATTTTTAAAACAAAATTAAGGATTCTGAAAGGTCAACAAGAGATTGCATTATCTGATCAGGATAAAATAAAGAGAAGATGTAAAAACTATAATGGAGAACTATAAAGAAGAGATGCAGGGATAATTGTTTCCTTCAGAGAATAATCCTTCGATGAAGAAGCTACCATTTTAGAAAGTCAATTAAAATATGCTCTGAAAGTAATTGTCCAGAAGGGAGCAAAGAGCAATTAATGTGATTGTGCCATGGCTATTGCAGTGGGAAAGAAACCAGGAGTAGATGGAATATCAGTACAGTTGTTTCAAGTTGAATCTATCAGAAGCCTAAATTAAGAGTATGCCAGCAAATATGGAAAACAAAACAATTGCTCACAGACTGGAAATATTTAATATACATGCCATTTCAAAGAAAGGTGATGCCAGAGAGTGCAGTAACTACTGCATTAGTACTTTCAGTAGTTGCATCACTGCATTAGTTTCCCATGCAAAGTGATGGTCAAGATTTTACAACAAAGACTTATAGCATATATGGAGAAGAGATACCAGATATTCAAGCTAGCTTCAGAAAAGAAAGGCATTAGAGATCAAATTGCAAATGTAGGCATCCTTCAATCTCGAGAGACTATGGTAACGTGCTCTGAATAGAGGTCCTGGAACAGTGTCTAATCTGGCTGAGAAGGCCAATTTGAGAGTGACAGTCCCTTCTGCACTGAGGACAAATACAATCTGTCCTCTGTCCAGCTCTCTGATTTTGCTGGGTTTGGAACTGCCTCTTTGCCTCGGCCTGCTGCACAAGTGCCTCTTCAAATTGGGGAGGCCATGCTGTACTGCCTGCCTCCAGGCTGAACACTCAGATGTCAAGGTTTCCCATCTGTTGAGGTCCATTCCTAAGGCCTTGAGATCCCGCTTGCAGATAGGCCTCTGGGGCGCTTTCCCTGCACTAATTCTCCATACAGGAGATCTTTCGGAATCCAACCATCAGCCATTCTCACAACATGCCCAAGCCAACGTAGATGTCGCTGTTTCAGTAATGTATACATGCAAAAAATCCAGCTCATTCTAGGACTACTCTATTTGGAACTTTGTCCTGCCAGGTGATACCAAAAATGCATCAGAGACAACACATATGGAACATGTTCAGCTTCCTCTCCTGCCGTGCACAAAGGGTCCAGGACTAACTGCAGTACAGGAGTGTACTCAGGACACAAGCTCTATAGACCTGGATATTGGTATATGCTGTCAGATTCTTATGAAGTCATACTCTCTTTGTGAGTTTAGAGAACATGTTAGCTGCTTTGCCAATGCGTTTATCCAGCTCTACATCTAGAGAAAGAGTGTCAGATATTGTTGAACCAAGGTACACGAAATCATCAACAAGCTCCAATTCTTGTGTAGAGATACACGCCCTGGCCCATGACTCGTATTTTCTTCAGGCTGATTGTTAATCCAAAATCTTGGCAGGCCTTACTAAAACAATTCATAAGTTGTTGGTGCTCTTCAGCAGAGTGGACAACAACAGCTGCATCATCAGGGAAGAGGAAGTCCCACGTGCACTTCAGCTGGACTTTGGTTTTTGCTCTCAATCTAGAGAGATTAAAGAGCTTTCCATCTGATTTAGTCTGGAGATAGACACCTTCTGTTGCAGTTCCAAAGGTGTGCTTCAGCATGACTGCAAAAAAGATCCCAAACAGAGTCGGCGTGAGGACAGCCCCATTTCACTCTGCTTCGGATGTCAAAGAGATCTGATGTTGAGCCATCAAAACTACAGTGCCCTTCATTTCCTCATGAAAGAACCTGATGATGTTAAGGAGTCGAGATGGACATCCAATCTTGGGAAGTATTTTTAAAAGGCCATCCCTGCTAACCATATCAAAGGCATTTGTAAGGCCTCTGGCAAGGCACCTGAGAAGGATAACATCCCTGTTGAAGTACTGTAAAGAGATCATCACCACTGAGCTATATGAAATCTTTGTCTTTGCTGTAGGGAAGGTGGAGTACCACAGGACATGAAGGATGCAACTATCATCACATTGTACAAAAAGAAAGGCAACAGGGGCGACTGCAATAACTACCGTGGCATCTCTCTTCTTAGCGTTGTACAGAAGCTGCTTGCCTGTGTTGTGCTAAAGAGGCTCCAAGTGCTAGCAGACAGAATCTATCCAGAATTGCAGTGTGGATTTTGAGCTAATAGATCCACCGTTGACAAGGTATTTTCCCTCAAGACAGTTGCAAGAGAAATGTAGGGAACAAAAACAGCCACTCTTTGTGGCCTTCAAATTGGAAATACACTACTGGAATGTACCAAAGATAATTTTGCTGTATTGATTACAGTAAAAGCTTTGACTGTGTTTATCAGGAAACACTGAACCAGTCTGAAAGGTTCAATGTTACATCATTTAATTGTCCTTATAGATAGTCTACTCTATTAGAGCAGAATATGGGCAAACAAAATAGTTTCCAATTGGCAACAGCGTTGAACAGGGTTGTACTTGATCTACTTGCCAGATGCTTTGGCCTACAGCTTCTATTATCTTCATACTGAATGCACAGTGCTAAGGGATTATAGGAGCTGTAGTCTAAAACA